GCCTGAGCCCCCTCAAGGTGCTAGGCACAGGGTCGGCCACCGCCGAGGTGGCCGGATTCAGATGGCCGGCGAGGTGGCCGCAGTGGCCAGAGGGTGGCCGACAATTCCCATTTTGAGGTGCGCACTGTCCTGAGAGCCTATAAATAAGCCTAGAGATGTTCATTCAAGAGCGTCGAAGTCTTTCAAGGACGCTGAAACTCTGCCGGAGTGAAGAGTGAACTTCGAAGCTTGAAGACCAGAGACTTGCACTCAAAGTCTGATCCTCGGGCGCGACCATGTCCCGGTCAGAAAAAGGCAGGCATCTCGAGAGGAAGATAGAAACAGATCTGACATCTACACGAGGCTACACTCCTAGATCTAATAGCTTGGTCTTAGATCTCGGAGATCTGAGCGAATATTACCCTTGGTGATTAATCGCCTCCGGCTATTATTGCCCGTCGTGAATAATACCCGCGATACTCTGTAGATCCGACCGGATCTAGATGCTGCCGCGGTTCGCATGGATTAAACCCCGGCGCAATGGCAAAGAACCACCGAAGCGAGCGTCCGCAAAACAGGACTCGGATTTGTTCACAGCAGGAGAGTCTGTAAATTTTTCTTTATTTTCTTTTGATTTAGTTGTAACCGGATCTATAAAAGACCGATCTAAAGTTGTAACTCAAGATGACAATTATCTCATTAATGAAGAAAGCAACAGTTTTCCACGCGAACAATTAACAATTATAATATTTGACCACGTGCATTGCACGTGCATTCTACCTAGTAAAATACAAAAGTGCGAGTAAACCTTTAGGCCCTCTTGGGCAAGGGGCTAATAGAAGGTCTAATGAGTAACTCTTTCTTAACTATTGAAATGGGTTAAATTGGTAAAAGGGGTAACAAACCCTTTAAAATAGTTAAAGTTAGTTAACCCATCATTCAGAGGGGTTAACAAATCCACTCAAATGGGAGGGCTAAGTGTTACTCCTTCTGACAATAAGAAATCAGACTTTAAAAAATATATATACCTTAGGATATTTATGGCAATTAAATTATTAACCCTTTTTTATTTGTCAAACACAAAAAAACTTAATCCTTCATCTTGACTATTGTTGATGATCGTTATCAAACAGGAAATTGAGGGTGGATTGTTTATGGTATTAAGGTCTCTTAATCTTCTTCAGATGACTGGTTCTTGAGCAGAGAATCCCGTCCTGCACATGAACAACATGTGAGAGCATCAGAGGTGGGATATCAAGTAATTCCTTCGACGACCAAGTCAGTCTTGTGCTCGAGTGGAGAAGAGAGTAAATGTATGGTGTTTTTATAGCAAAAGATTGCTTACCCTATGCTGTAGATAGCAACGTTCCTTTATAGCAGATACAAGGGCTAGATGCGTAACTTCGGCCAAGTCCAAGCAAGTGGCTCAACCGGCAGCTACTTTACAAGTGTCAGCTGCAGAAGGGATGAGTCATCTAGGTGTTTAATGTGATGGTGACGAGGTGTGCATAGTGATGACAAGGTTCGATGAATCACAAAGACTTTGGAAGTTGGAGCAATGATGATTCTGATCATGCATTCAATGTGATGGCGACTGATGCGACATAATTATGTACCAAAATTACAAGTGCACAATTTATCAAGTTATAGTATAAAAAGATATCGATCCCACGAAGAAGGTGATTTTAAGAGATTATTAAACTTGGTTCTTATATTTTGTGCGTGACAATTAGGAATAAAGAATAAGTGTGATTGTATGAGTGGTTGTTTTGATTTATATGCAAGAGGTAATAAATTGAATTTTAGAGGAGAGAAGGAAGAATTAAAGAATAAATGAAATCATAAGGCAAGAAATATGAATTAATAAAATCAAGAAATAAAACCAAAAATGAAAAGAAAATTTAAGAAAGTTAAGATGAAGGATTCAAAAGAGGTAAGAAATCTAGAATATAATCCACTAACCAATTTCAATTACAAAATATAAACTATTCTCTTTTTATCATATTTCAACTTAGATTTATTAAGCATAGATTATCAAACCATTTAAGGAAAGTGTAACCTATCAAATTATCATCTAAGTCAAAATTACTATTCATGATAAGAACAACAACATGATAATAATCCTAGAATTCATAAGCATAACCTATCAAACCATTTAAGATAAGCATAGATTATCAAATTCTTCTTCTACCGATTAGTTCTCTAGTTGATTATCCTAACATGAACATTTTAAGTACAAGAGAATAATTCATACAATATAAAGGAAATTAGACTAGTTTCATATAATTCTAAACTTCCTACAAGAATTAAATTCACATATTTAAGAAATAAAAACAAGAAAAAGAACTAATTACAAAATTAAAAAGAAAAGAAAAATCTAAACTATGAACAAGAAATAAATCTAATTACAAAGAAAATAAAAATCTAAACTACAAAATAAATTGCAGAAATTAAATGCAAGAAAAATAAATCTACTCTACAAATTAAAGTGCAAAAAGAAATAAAAAAGACAAGAAAATAAATCTACACTACAAGCATGAATTTAAATCTAACTAATAAGCAATAATAAAGAAATTACTAAAAAGAAATAAAAGAGAAAAGAAATGCAAACCTTCAAATTGCTCTTCATCTCCATCCTCATCATTCAACAAGAGGAGAAAGAACAAATTTAAAGAGGAAAAAATTATTTTTATTAATTGCAACTAAAGTTACAATTTTTGGAAGGCCTTCTCAATTAAGAGTAGCCCTCCTCTCCAAAAGGAGTTTACAAAATTTTCACACCTCTAACCCCTCACTCTCTACCCCTATTTATAGTAATCTTCAATGAATATGAGCCATTGGATTTGTCTTGAGCCCCAAGCAACAATCTCCACCTTTGATTTATTTGATTTTCAAAAGAAAACCAAAATCCAATTCTTAAGCCCATGTTCACTTGATTTTCCAAGTCTCTGCAGCAATCAAAAGCCAATTCATGTGATTGAATATTTGCAAAACAAAGTCCACTCATGATTTTCAATCTTCGGCCCATTTCTCCATTAAAATGTTTTTGATTTTCACAACCACATCACAAGTCCGGCCCATGTGGAGATTGAATCCAAATCCAATGTAAAAAAAATAAATGCTGGGTCCGGTCTTGTTCTCAGCAGCAACCAATGATTTTTCAAATCCGAAAAAAAATCTCAGCAAGTCCAAGGTCCATGAAGCTTTATTGACATTTGATTCTCAAAATATAAAAGTAAGAACCGGCCCACTTTAGCATTCCCAATTCATTCATGAAGTCTGGCCCAATTTGATTTTGAAATCAAAAGAAAATCCAAATTGAAGCAAAGTGTCCGG